CACAGTGAGCAGGCCCTCTGCCCAGGAGCCAGGGCCTTTCGTCCCTCACACTTGAGCGCCTCGGGGTCGGGGCCGCAGCATGTGGCAGAGGCTCCCCACACCCCCCCGCCACTTGCAGGGCCACCCCAGTGGCGACCTTGCCTGAGCCGGCCTCCGAAGCACCGTTTTCGTCGCGTCCCCTCTCGATGGACTTGCCTGAAAGCTGATAGAGCCTAATGGCGTTCCACAGCCCACAGGCCAGACTCCGGCCCTTCCACCTGTGCCCCGAGACGCACGTCCTGCTGGTGCTGAACGGCCGCAGCTGCCTGGTGCTCTGCAGCTCAGTGATGGGCGTGCTCTCCTCCCGTACTCACGTCCCCCGTCCCCCTCCAGCCCCTACAGGTGCCAAGAGGACCCTCTCGGCCAGCAGCAGCCAGCCCCCCAATGGCCCCGAGCCGGGCAGCCAGCCCCTGAAGACGCGTACGTTGTCGGGCATGGCGTCCAAGACTACCGCCACCGTGGCCCCCAAGCGTGTGGCGCACAGTCCATCCTTACAGGTGAGCCCTCTGCTTAGCTTACCTCTCCTTGCTCCCCTGTTGTTTCCACTTAACCCGTAGCCTTACTCCTTCGAGCAGTTTCAGTTTGCAGACCCTGAGCGGGGTGCAGACGGGAGCGTGCCACACTCTGCTGGTCTCTGTTCCCCTAGAGTTTAAAGAAGCCCGTTATCCCAAAAGAGTTCGGGGGCAAAGTCCCCACTGTCATCCGCCAGCGCTATCTCAACCTGTTCATTGAAGAGTGCCTCAAGTTTTGCTCTTCTAACCAGGAAGCCATAGAGAAGGTGCGTGGGGCGGGGCTGGTGGGAGGCGGGGCTGGGCTGGGCTGAGCCGAGTGTCCTCCTGCAGGCACTCAACGAGGAGAAGGTGGCCTACGACCGGAGCCCCAGCAAGAACATCTACCTGAACGTGGCCGTGAACACCCTCAAGAAGCTGCGCGGCCTGGGCCCTGGCACCGGGCCTGGTCTCAACAGTAAGTCGCCTCCGGAGGACCGGGGCCCAGCCCTCCCCGGGCCACCGGCAGGTTGTCAGACAAAGGCTCTGCACGCCGGCCACCCAGTTGCCAGGCTCCTGTCAGGATGGCGCTGGGCCCATGCCCTCAGAACAGCCTCCTCTCGCTGTTAACCGCCCTCTTCAGCGAGCCGAGGGCCGCCGCTAATGGGGGCCTCTTCAAAGCACAAAGCAGGGGGGCATTTCCTGAGCCCTCTCGAAGGATGCATTAGCGCCCGTCTGCTCCGCCTGCTCTCCGGTTCGGCCCGCTCCCCTGGCAGGCAGCTGCGCACAGCGCCCGAGGTGGCCATCAGAGCCTGTGTAGAGTCCTTTCCCTTTCTTCTCCAAGGGGTGAAGACCCCCGGGGGGTCCAGGGGCGGTGGAGGGGCTGCCGGGCAGCCTGCTGCTCCCCAAAGAGTGCACATCACAGGAGGTCAGGTCGTCCCCTTCTGGAGGAGGGTGGAGGAGCACTTGTGAGGTCTGAGGTCTGAACCTCGTTTACCCTCCCCTCACCTTCCAGAACCCAGCGGCCGGAGGGTGGTGTCCCATGAAGTGGTGCTGGGGGGCAAGTTGGCTGCCAAGACTAGCTTTTCGCTCAGCCGTCCCAGCAGCCCCCGCGTGGAGGATCTGAAAGGTGAGCCTGGCTCCTCCGGGTGCGGCCCCTGGAGGCTCTCCCACCCTCCCCGGCCGCTGGGTCCAGCCCCAGCCCGGCTGGGGGCTGACCCCCTCTCCCCTGTCCCCAGGGGCCGCCCTGTACAGCCGCCTCAAGGAGTACCTGCTCACTGAGGCCCAGCTCAAGGAGAACGGCTACCCCTTCCCGCACCCCGAGAAGCCAGGGGGCGCCATCATCTTCACGGCCGAGGAGAAGAAGCCCAAGGACTGTGAGTACCTCCTGCGCCACTGCCCTTGGGGCGGAGGGGGCCATCTGGGGACATGGAACGCCCGGCCCAGCTGGCCTGACGCATCGCCCTTCCTCCTGCCCCATCCCCACTCGCAGCCGCCTGCAGGGTCTGCTGCCGCTGCGGCACCGAGTACCTCGTGTCCTCCTCCGGCCGCTGCGTGCGCGACGAGGAGTGTTACTACCACTGGGGGCGGCTCCGCCGGAACCGAGGTGAGACCCCCGCTGGGCCGCTGGGCTGGGCTGGCGCCAGCTCTGACCATTTGTAACTTTTTTCCGTTGGTTGTTCTTCATGGGAAAAGTAACACAAAGGTCTTCCTGTGACAGTGTTCCTGGGTAGATAAAAGGAAGGCCTCCCGCCTCATGAGGCCCCTACGCATCCTTTCCACGACTGTCCCCGTGGAACTACGTGGGCGGTTCTGCCTCAGTGGGAACAAAGCGTTCGTCCTGTCCTGCAACTGCTTGTTTCATTTTGTCGCCGATGTGGCCAAATTCCCTCTCCTGGGAACACACGGGGTGGAGCTGCCGGCTGGCCGCCCGCAGACCCGTCTCTGGGTGGGCAGGCCTCCCTGGGAGCCGCGCCAGGCGTGTCCTCACTACCAAATGCGAAGGGCTTGCGCTAAGCCTGGGCAGGGCGGCGGGTCTGCGAGCTGTCCTGGCCCCTCACTGCCTGGTCGGGCCTGGCGCCCCTCCAGGGAAGGGCACTGGGAAGCCCCTGCCCCGCGCAGGCAAACCAGCTGGCATTTGTAGTTCCCTGCGGGAGGCTTGGGCCCAGGGCATCAAGGAGGTCTGCTGACCGCGTCTCCCTTGCAGTGGCAGGGGGCTGGGAGACTCAGTACACATGCTGCTCGGCCGCCATTGGCTCCGCCGGCTGTCAGGTCGCCAAGGTAGGTGTCCTGGGCCCTTCCTCGTCCTGGGAAGCCCCTCCCCCATTCTGGCCAGAGTCCTGACCTCTGAGCTGCCCTTTTCCCATCCTTGAACTACCTGCCTGGTCTGGGGGCTTTGGGAAGAGGTGGACAGTCTGTGAAAGCCACCAGCACAGCACAGCCCCCTGAGCCCGGCCTTGCCCTTCCGAGCCTGCCGCCCTGACCTTCCTTCCCTCCCACCCTCAGCAACACGTGCAGGACGGCCGGAAGGAAAACCTCGAAGGGTTTGTGAAAACCTTTGAGAAAGAACTTTCAGGAGATGCACACCCAGGAGTCTACGCCCTCGACTGTGAGATGGTGAGGCGGCCCGGCTGCCCAGCGGGGCTGACCCGGTCTCTCTACCCAGAGCCTCGGGCCAGCGCAGGTGCCGGGATAAGAGTATGAACGGCAGCCGGGCCCACCTGCCCGCTGAGCACCTGTCACAGCCTTGCCTGCGCCCCAGGGCCTGGCACACAAGGTCCACCTTGGCTCTCGGAGGCTGTGTGGGCCTCATGAGCACAGCTCTGGCTTTGGGAGGGTGCCTGGGCTCACGCCCCCTCTGACCCGCAGAGAAGCCCCGGAAGGCCTCTGGCCTGGTTTCCGTATCTGAGAGTGGGAGCTGAGCCTCTGCCCGCAGGGTTCAGGGACAGGGGTGGCCTAGGCGGGAGCGCTGGTGTGCGGGGCTGGGGAGGGCCACCGGGCGCTCCGTCTGAGGCCTGTCCTCTGGCCCCGCAGTCTTACACCACGTATGGCCTGGAGCTAACGCGCGTCACGGTGGTGGACACAGAGCTCCAGGTTGTGTACGACACCTTCGTCAGGCCGGACAATGAGATCGTCGACTATAACACTAGGTGTGCCCCTCCCACCCTGACCCCCGATCCCTTGACCAAGGAGCTGGGAGCCCTGGCAGGACCCCCATTCCCCACCACGGCCCAGCCTTCCTGCCCGCAGCCCAGCCCCGGGTTGGGGTCCCTGTGCCCTCCCCAGCTCCCTAAGGCCTCCATCCTCCCGCCCCAGGTTTTCAGGGGTGACTGAGGCCGACCTCACGGACACGAGCATCTCGCTGCGGGACGTCCAGGCCGTCTTGCTGAGCATGTTCAGTTCAGACACCATCCTCATCGGCCACAGCCTGGAGAGCGACCTGCTGGCCTTGAAGGTACCCGCCTGCCTCGTCTTCGGCTCCCTGAGGGTCCTCAGAGGGTGGGTGGGGCCGTCTGGGGCCCGCTGCCCTCAGCCCAGGGCAGGAGCTGTAGGGTCGGGGACCAGGCACTCGGCGTCCCCCTCCCCCCTTTGCCACCCCAGCCCTCCTGTGGTCCCTGACCGCCCACCCGCCCGCCCACAGGTCATCCATAGCACCGTGGTGGACACGTCCGTGTTATTCCCGCATCGCCTGGGCCTCCCCTACAAGCGCTCCCTGCGGAATCTCATGGCCGACTACCTCAGACAGATCATCCAGGACAATGGTGAGTGCCGGGCCGCGGGGGCTGTGGGGGCCGTGGGCTCCCTGCCCTGACGCATTTGTCTGCCCTGCAGTGGACGGGCACAGCTCCAGTGAGGACGCCAGCGCCTGCATGCACCTGGTGATCTGGAAGATCCGCGAAGACGCCAAGACCAAGCGGTGACCGCCGCCTGCCCGCCCGCCCGCCTCTCCTGCCGCCCCGGCCCGTTCTCTACCCCAGGCCTCTTCCAAAACAGTGCAATAAATCTCGAGATCTAACCCTGTCCACGTCGCCAAGACACAGAAAACCGAGAGAACGGGACAAACCGGAGGCCACGAGAGCCCAACGCCGAGACTGACCCCGGAGCCCCGAGCCCCCGCCGCACCCCGTCGCCCGTCCCTGCCTCTCTGCCCCAGACCTCTGTCCTCTGGAGACTGCTGCTGACTCGACGGGCGAGGCCAGGTCCCTCCCGCCCGGCACCTCCCGCGGGCCCTGCTCGTGCCCCAGGCAGCGAGACCACCTGCCCCTGCTCCTTCTCGTGGGCGGGGGGCGGCTGGGCAGGCTTGTCGAGGGTTTGTTTGTGACAGGAGTTGTCTTTTTATTTTGTATTGTTATTTTTATTATTTGTAATTTAAACCTGATAACTTGCACAGTTGTCTTCCCCCACCTGGAGGAGCAAGGCCCTGGTGCTGCCTTCCCTCCCGGGGGACGGGGGTAGAGCTGGGAGTGGAGCACCGGCACCCCAGCAGCCGCCAGGACCTGGGAGTTCTGGGAACCAAGCCAGCCCCTCCATCAGCCCCCAGGGCCTTGCCTTCTGGACGCCCCAGGGCCCATCAGCCTCTGGACACTTGTCTTCCCGCCAGAGCCCCGCCCTCCTCGGGGGGCTGTCTGTAAAGGCCCGCAGTGCCCCAGTTCCTGCATCCCCTCTCCCCCACCCCCAGGCAGGGGCAGAATAAACGTTTGTATGGATTTTAGAGCTCATGGCGTCTGGAGGTGTTCTTGGTGCCAGGTGTGGCTCTACACACACAGTGGAGGTCACCGTCACCCGTAACGGGGGGAATCAGGAATGGGACCTTGCTGTCCTTCACAAAAACCAGCCCAGTGCTCGGGTTGCCCCCAGGACCAGTGTCCAGAGCAGACCAGGGCCCCATGCTTCCAGCCCCTCGGGGTTCCGTGACAGTGGGGCCAGCGGCCAGGCCCTGGGACTGGAGTTGCCTTGCCCACTCATGAGGTGGGGCCTGCATACGGGGCTGGGAGTGGGGAGACCCCGGCCACCGCTGCATGTTCCCTGTCTGAGCAGCTAACTTGGGAAGGGAAGGGCAGCCACTGGGTAAAGCGAAAAGTGAAGCCCAAAGAGCCTCATGGGTCGGGGAGATGCTGGGGGGCCCCAGGTCCCTGTGCAGGAGCACGAAGATGCTGGAAGGAGGGCTGCCTGGAGGAGGCCCCCTTGCCACTCCACTTCCGCAGAAGTTCCTCTGGCTTTTGCTAAAGGCCAAGAGGGCAGGCTCCCATCTGAGGACACAGCAGCCAGGGCTGCAGAGTTCCCAGGGGGCGTCGACTGAAAAATACAAGACCTGAAAGCTGTGAGTTATGTTTTATTCCAGGAACTTACTGAGGACTGTAGCCCAAGACGTTGCCTCTCATATAGCTCTGAGGAACTGTTCCTCGGAGTTTTTGTGAAAAAAACCCCATAGAGTCAAACATCAAAAGGTTCCTGCTAATCACAAAAAGCTGACATCTCTAGTTAATGATTGCAGTGCTTTTCTGTGTATGGGAAGATGCTAGATGCTGTCTGGGCTCACTGAAATCATTCCTTTGATATGCACTTCAGCTATCCAGGGCCAGTATCTGGTTATTCTCCATCCTGAATCCCCTCACGGCGCACCACTGTGGGGAAGGGGGGTGGCGCTGCAGTGGCAGAAGGCTTGATGGTGAGCAACATTCTCTGTCCACAGGGGCCCTGAGGGGAGGGTTCTTGGTGAAGTCAGGCCTCTGCCACCATCGTGTCCCTCCGGGGCTGTTCTTGTGACCAGTTGACTTTCCCCCACCCTCTGTGAACAAGGAGTGTTCTTCTAAAGAAAGGATGCAGGCAGCATCCCAGGAGCCCCGTTTCTGTGTGGTCTGTCCCCCTCCCCAGAGCATGAGTGCCCCAGGGAGGCCTTGGGCAGTTGGGGGAGGAGCTCCCGGTTGGGGGGGGCGGTTGGGGGGGTGCAAGCTTTCAGCTTGCCTAAACTGCTGCCTCTTGGAGGCCAAAGAGCCTTTCTTTGCAAACTCGCTGCTTGGGAAACTCCTCTCCCTTCTGTCACCGTCCCAGGGGGGAGAACCGATCCCGACCCCCTCCTCACAGGCGCCCACCGGGTGAGGTGTCTCCTAAAGGCTGTTAGAGCAGTTTGTCCAAGACCCTCCCCGCAGTGTCTTTCTCTGTAACCGCTGGGTAGGGCTGGATGAACGTTTCTCCAGTGAATGAAGGAAAGGAGAGGTTTACCTGGCATCCCCCAGAGGCCGCTGGGTGTGCAGGTCTTCCCAAGAAATGGGAGTGGGAGGCTGCTGCTCTGATGGGGGCGGTCAGCTCCTGGGTGCTGTCACCATCCCCATCATTCATTCCTTCACCCAACATCAGCTCAGAGGGGATGCCCGTGCCCCAGGCAGGGCACAGTCAGACAGGCACCCTCGGTCTGTTGGGTGGCGGCTGGGCCAGAGGGAGAGAGCAATCCCGAGGCTGGGGAGAAAGGGTGGTGGAGGTGTCCAGTACCTTCCTACTTTCTGCGCTTCAGAGGGTTCCTAAAAGAATATGAAAAACAGAGCTTAATCACCTCCCCTGAACCCCCAAGTTTGACTCTCCTAGGAGGACCCTACCTTCAGTAGCGCCTCCCACACACCCTCCCCGCCCTGGCTCAAGTCCCCCATCTCCGGCCTGGACGCTGGCCCAGCCTCATCGCTGTCTCCCACCCGTCACCACCTCCAGGAAGGCCCCCGGAGTCCCGGCCGCGTGCTGGGTAGACACACACCGGGCTAGAACCCTGTGGGCTTCTTCCTGGCGGGATGATCTCTGGTTCTAACAGCCTCCCCCAGCCCGAAGCCCAACACTGTACCTGCGCGTACAACATGCTCGCTGAACTGGAACGCGCACACAGCTCAGACTCACGCCCCGCATACCTGCGATTACCTCTCCGTCCTTTCTCCGCCCCTAGCCTCTACCCCGCACACACACCCGGCCCCGCCCAGCTTCAGCCGGGTCCAGCCCACCCCCGCCAGCGACTGGCCCCTTAATTCCTAGGCCCAGATTAAGACTCCATCCCGCCCCAGCTCCTCGAGGTCACGCTCGGTCCCGCCTTAGGCCCCGCCCCTTTTGGCCCTGTTAGGCAAGGCCTAGCTCGGCCCCGCCTCTGTCCCGCCCCGCCTTCTGTCTTGTCCCCACGCCTGGGGTCCCGCCCCGCCCCCTCTACCCCGGCCCCACCTTCCACCCTGGCCCCGCCCTCGGCCCCCTGCATTCTGCCCGGCCCCGCCCCTAGGCCCCAACCTTCCGCCCCGCCCCAGCCCGCCCCGCCCGTTTCAGGCCCGTTTCAGGCCCGTTGGCACCGGGCTAACAGCTCCACCACGTCCGTCGCCCTGGACGCCTGCGGACCGCCCCAGGAAGCCCGGCCCCGCCCGCCCCGGCCCGCGCAGGTGAGCGGCGGCGCTCCCGCAGCTGTGCGTCCCCGGGAGCCCGCGCACCCTCTCTGGACTCCGCCCGGCCTGAGGGCGGGAGGACGCAGCCGCGGCGGCGGGGGCGCCCCCTAGAGGTTCGCGTGGGCCAAGGCCCGGACGGGCGCCGGAGCGCCCTGTGTCGTGTGGGCCCGGATATCCAGGTGCATTTCCCAGGGGGCTGGGCGTCGAACCCTGAGCCGCTTCGCTGCGGGAATGCTCAGGGCTTCCCGGGGGGGGGGGTAGTGGGCGTTCCGGTGAGCTGAGAATGCGAGGGAGGAGGGCGTGTCCCTGCCCCCTGATACGCTTTGATTGGATTCTGGCCCACAGCATTCGTCTAGCCCCGGCCGGGTTTCCCCCGGCTCTGGCTCCGGTGGGGCCAGAGCTCATCCCGGCTGTGGCCCCACGGGATGAGCCTCACTTTTCCTCATCTGGTGAATGGGCACTGGCCTTGCTCGGGCCCCCAGGAGCATCAGATCTGGCCCTGAGCCAGGCCCTTCCCCGCCCCCCGGGGGCCCCCGGGACCAGTGACCCAGACGCCAGCAGTCCCTGCCCTGGGAGGTTCCAATTTCATCAGGCAGCCCAGACAGGGGAAGAAGCAGAGGAGAGAGGGTGATCAGAAATGGGATGGGGGATCCCGCAGGCAGAGGGGAAGCCCAGAGGAGGCGCCAGAACAAGGCTGGGCAGTAGGAGAAGTAGGGGCTGAGAGCCGAAGGGTGAGAAAGCTCCGGCCATGCGAGCAGGAATGGTGCTCCCGGCAGAGGGAACAGCGGGGCCAGGGCGTGGGGAGTAGGGAGCTGCTGAGTGCTGGGGGTGGGAGTCATTTGGGGAGCTGCCAAGGGCATGGAAGGACTAGGAGTAACCATGAACTAGCTGGTGGGAAGGCTCCGGGCTCTGTGGAGGGCTGGCGGTCCCTGCCCCAACACCACACTCAGACCTCTCAGCCCCTTGGTCCTCAAACACACTTCGAGACATGATGGAGAGCCCTGGGGCCCCATTTAGTCTGTCAACAAACATTGACTGAGCACCTGACCAGGCTGGGCGTCGTGTGCCGTGTGGGGATTGGGGCTGGAGGGGCAGCAGGGGGGCCCGGGAGGATGTGGGTGCGATCGGCCCCGGAGAGGTGATGGGGGACGACCATGGGGGGCCATGGGGGGCCATAGGGATGGGGAGCAGCGGCCAGGTGACCGACCGGCTGTAACGGGGAAGGACTCACAGCTGGTGACTGGACCTCCAGAGCCTGGGGAGGGGACAGCAGATGGACGTGGGAGGTGACATTTCAAAGAAGGTGGAGTGGTGGGCACTGTCCGGCTGCCAGTGTGACCTCAGACCCCTCTCCTCGACAGCCCCACCAGCATGGGCAGCCTCGTGTACCGAGAAGACCTTGAGGAGGAGAAGAACTCGGGTGCATGTCTGGCCAAGCGCGGGCGCAGGGCTGGGGGTAGAGTGAGGGGGTGCCAGGGGGACCCCGACAAGGGGCGTTAGAGTGCAGTGACTGAAGTGGGGAGACGGGAGGCCAAGCACGCGGTTCTCAGTGGGTTACAAAGAGTTCAAAATCCTGTCACTGAAAGGTGGACTCAGGATTTGTGGGCCTGTGAGCCCAGAACTGTCTGGGCAGGGAGTGGAGCCTCGGACACCTCGGCGCCCGTCCCTGGGCCTCAGTTTACCCCTCTGTAGAAGGAATGTGCGTGAGTGGGTCTCCCAGGGCCTAGGGATTGGCTCAAGGGGAGCCGGATGCTCAGATCCACCTGGGCTCCCCGAGTGCCTACTGTTGTGCAGGGGCCGCGTGGGCCCTCATCTGTTTACCGGCTGGATCCCCGGGGGGCCCCTCAGCCCTCCTCCGGGGTGTCATTAGCCCGTGTTTGTCCTCTCGGGCCTCAGAGTTCACCTGGGAGGTGCAAGCCAACAACCGGTCCTACAACAACCAGTTCAAGGAGAAGGTCTTCCTGTGCTGGCAGAGGAAGAAGTACAAGGTGGGCAGGCCCAACCCCCGTGGGCCTTCGGGACCTGCCACCCAAGCTCTGCATGCTGGGTCAGTCCACTTAGTCCTGAGGACTGTAGCACCGCCCTCGCCAAGTCGTGGGGTCCGGTGCTGGCGCTTCGCGTGTCTCCTCCGCCCTAAATAAGTTACTAGGCAACCTTCACGGTACAGCATGTCCATTGGGCTCTACCTGAAACCCCCGGCCTGCGTCTCACGCGGGGAGTCCTGGGGTCACAGCTCGGCTCACTGGGTCCGCACCCGCGCTGGTCATGGCCGGAGGGAAGGGGGAGGCGGATGGGGCTGGGTAGGAACCCGGGCCCTCCTGGGCGGCGCCCCCATGCCGGCTGCCGGCTCTCGTCCCAGAGGAACGTCATCCACACGGCCAAGTACAATGTCTTCTCCTTCCTGCCCTTGAACCTGTATGAGCAGTTCCACCGCATGTCCAGCCTCTACTTCCTTATCATCATCCTCCAGGTGGGGTGGGTGGGGCAGCCCCAGGGGTCAGTGCCGTGCCCACTCCACTCCTTCTACCTGCTCGAGCCACCTCCTCCAGGAAGCCCTCCCTTCCCACCTTCCCACGTGGCTCTGTAGACCCAGGGTGGTCCTACCCCGTGTTTGTCTGTGTGGCTGGTGAGTCAGTGTCCGGCCCCCCTCACACTGGGAGCACCCTCATGGCTGGGTCCCCACTGCCCAGCCAGGGCCTGGCACACAGGAGGCGCTCAATATATGTTGGATGCTGAGGGTGCATGGGTGGCCCCTCCAGGTCTAAGGCGGCCTCCTGACCCCTTTGGCCCCAGCAGGCTGAGCTGATCCCAGAGGGCCAGGAGGAAGGATTAGGTTCTTGGGACCCGCCGGGTCACTTCCTGGCATCAGGCCGGTCATGGATGGAGATGGGTGAGGGATGGGCAGTTTCCAGAGCACCCCAGCCGCACCCAGTTTCTCGTTCTGTTCTGAGTGAAATGAGACACTCTGCTTTTATCCGTTGATCCGATAAACTTGTATTGAACACCTACTGTATGCAGGTCCTATTCTGGGTACTGGGGACCCAGCAGTGGCCCTAACACCTGTCTTCAGGTGGCCCAGGGAGTGCGGGAGGTGACTGTCATTAAACCACATGGTGGTTCCGCAACGCGGAGCTCCTGCAGGCCGTGCGGGCCAACCAGGACCGGAGGGTGCGCGAGTTCTGGCACGTGCTGGCTATCTGCCACACGGTGATGGTGCAGGAGAAGAACGAACAGTGAGCCTGCCCCCAGGCTGCCTCTGCCCTGGGCTCCTGACTCTCCCGCCCAACTCCCGGGGCCCTCTCAGCCGGCTTAGAGGGTGCGCAGGCCCCTGGCCCGAGCCCCAACCTCTTCCGCAGAGGGTGTCCAGGCCTGTCATCGCACGGGGAGGAGGAGGTCATGGAGATTGGGAGCCAAGATTAGAGGTGGTGCCGGCGCAAGAGACTGTCATCCCGCAAATACCTGACGGGCACCTCCTGTGTCCGTTTCCTCCCCGTGCTAAGGCCGCACAGATGGGTGGGTGGTGGGTCCCTGACTGAGGGCAGGCTCTCAGCCCCCTCCCCCTCCTCCACCCCACCCCCCTCCCGGCCCAGACCAGCTGTCATACCAGGCAGCTTCCCCAGACGAGGAGGTGCTGGTCATGGCGGCTCGGAATTTTGGCTACGTGTTCCTGGTGCACACACAGGACAGCGTCACTGTGATGGATCTGGGAGAGGAGTGGGTGTACCAGGTCCTGGCCATGATGGACTTCAACAGCGTGTGCAAGCGGATGTCGGTGCTGGGTGAGCCCCTGTGGCTCCAGGTGGGGTGGGGGCAGGTGGGGAGGGGAGCGTGTGTGGGCAGCCAGGCCTCTTCCTCCACAGTCCGCAACCCCGAGGGCTCCATCTACCTCTACACCAAAAGGGCTGACATGATCATCTATGAGCGCCTGCAGAAGAAAGGCCTGATGGAGTGGACCATGGAAGAGGCCTTGGCCGTGAGTCCCTGTGGGAAGGGAGGGTGGAGGGGCAGGTTCAAGGGCACAGGGACAGGAGGAGAAGGGCAGGAGAGGAGAGTGTGCAGAGAAATGGCCTCAGGTACCCAGGGCGGCCATGTACAGTTGATCAGGTTGTGCACTGTTCTGCCCAGCACACACACACACACACACACACACACACACACACACACGCTTGAGAGGGACCCAAACTCCAAGCTGCACCTGCCCAAAGGGAATACCTTTTTCTCAGTCACGCAAGGACACCCTGTGGTTGGGATTTTGTTCTGGTTGCTACCCCCCTATCCCAGCCAGGCCTAGTTTCCAGGACATGCTTAGCCCTCTCTGCCCCAAAACTTTTGTCTCCGTGGGTGAAGCCCAAACGCCTTGGCCCAACTTTCCAGGCTGTCTTTCTGTGTTCTGCTGTCCTGTCTATCCTGGTCCCTCCTTGACCTCGAGGGGTTCCCCAGAACCCCAATTTCTGGCTTGCAGTTTCCTCCATGCTCAGGTGTTGCCTCAGGACCTTTGCACACGCTATTCCCTCTGCTAGGAATGCCTTCCTCCACTCTGGCGCTCAGTCACCATCCTTTGGTCCTCAAGGCTCAGCCATAGGTCCCCACCTCCAGGGAGCTGTTCCTGCCCCGACTCTGACATGGGGCTGTCCTGCCGTGCTGGCCCAGCCCTGACCCTGCAGGTCCCCAGCCTCACCCAGCACAGGGGCCAGTGGGGCTGTTTGGGGAAAGAAATATCCTGTGTCCCTCCACACGGGGGCCTCCCAGACTGCCCTGTTCTACCTCTGCTGGGAAGCAGGTGGGCGGTGGGGAGCAGGCAGCTGGTCTGTGACCCACAACTGAGGAAGTGCAGTCAGAACCATGACTCAGAGCCCAGGAGCTCGGCAAGACGGCTTGGCTTAACCACCTATGGAGTGGATGGGGAAACCGAGGCACGAGAGGAGCACAGGCCTGTCTGGAGCTCCTGACCTGTCCAAGCTCAGCCGCTCAAGCCCACCTCCAGTCAGGAACAGAAGCAAGACCCCGGGCAACAGGCGAAAAGCCTGGGGGAGGGTTGGGGCGTAGGAGGGAAGGAAGGAGCCACGATGGGCCCCCCTGGGGCGAGCGAGCTCTGGGTCTTCCCCGGGGTCTGGAGACAAGGTCCCCAGGATCCTTACAGTTCCACCCAGAGGCCTCAGCTCCTTGAAAAATGAGGCAGAGGGAGGGGTCTGGGGCTGGGGGAGCCCTGACAGCGGAGGGTTCTGGCAGGGCTGCACCGAGTGTCTTGCGGAATAGTTAGAATTTGCCTGTGAGGTCTGGGGGCAAAACAGAGCTGGGCATCAGGGTGGGGGCGAGGGGCGGGCTGAGACACAGCGGGTGTGGAGCAGGGCGGCATGTGGTCCCAGCTCCCCCTGCCCGGGAAGACAGACTGCGGGTGGCGGGTAGGTTGGGTGACCCCAGGCAGAGGGAGAGGGCTGGAGGGGTGCCCGGGTGAGGGGGCAGGGGTTGGCGGGGGTGCCAGCACCGCCTGCCCACCCGGGGCCCAGCCCTTCGCCGAGCAGACCCTGCGGACGCTGTGCATGGCCTGCAAGGAGGTGGACGAAGACATGTACGAAGAGTAGCGCCAGCGGCACCAGGAAGCCAGCATCCTGCTGCAGAACCGTGCCCATGCCCTGCATCCGCTGTACGAGGAGATGGAGCAGGACCTCCAGGTGGGTGGAGCTCAGGGGGAGGGGCGCCCGCACCCCAGCTCCAGCCCCTCAGCCCCACCAGGGAGCTGGCTCCCTGCTCAGGCTGTCCCCACGCCCACCCCCAGCTGCTGGGAGCCACAGCCATCGAGGACAGGCTCCAGGACGGTGTCCTGGACACCATCAAGTGTCTCAAGCAGGGGAACATCAAAGTGTGGGTTCCCACAGGGGACAAGCAAGGTGGGTCCCAGGGTGGCCACCCCCAACGTGGGGAGAAGGGAGGCTCGGGGAGAGCTCACCCCTGCCTGGGCACCACCGTTGGCCCATCCCTCTTTTTTTTTTTAAGATTTATTTTTGATGTGGACCATTCTTAAAGTCTTTATTGAACTTGTTACAATATTGCTTCTGTTTTATATGTTGGTTTTTTGGCCACAAGGCATGTGGGATCTTAGCTCCCAGACCAGGGATCAAACCTGCACTCCCTGCATTGGAAGGCGAAGTCTTAACCACTGGACCGCCAGGGAAGTCCTGGCCTATCCCTCTTGTCTGAGTTCAGCATTGCCCTCCACCTTGTCCCTGGGAAGGGAGGACTGGGAACAATGGACTGGGGTCCCCTGGGCGCCTCCCTCGGGCGGGCCGGTGCCATGCTCAGCGTCTCCTTGGGGTTTGGCCCCCTGGCAGCACCATGCAGTGGGGCCCTCATTACCCCTGCCTCATAGATGACCCAGCGGGGCTCAGAGAGCATGGGCACCTGCCACGGTTGCTCAGCCACCCAGGAGCCAAGCTGGAATGGAACCTCAGGTCTTGTGGCCGTGGAGCCATGACTCCACTCCACTGAGGCTTCTCCGGGGCCCCACTGGGCATGGGTGCCTGCAGGGCTGCATTAGAACTTCTGCGGGCAGGAGGCACGTACACACAAAATATTTAGAATGACGTTTAACAGCTGTGCTGGAATAAAGACAAATATCCAGGCTGCATTTTTATATTCATTTTTTTCCCTCTTCTTTATTTTTTTTAAACAAATTAATTCATTTTTGTGGGTTCCTGGAAGTGCCTTGGGGCCCTAAGCACGATATGTCTAACGATCCCTTGGCCCTGGCCTCAGACCCACCTCGCACCGGCAGCCCAGATCCAGCCAGGCGAGTGGAATGCAGCCCCTCTGCTCAGAGCTGCAGCCAAAGTCTCAGGGCTGACTCTCATTGGCTGGCCTGGTCACATGCCCTCCTCCAAACCAATTGCTGTGGCCAGGGAGAGGGGCATGCTGCTGTGATGGGCAGAGTGGGCATGGCCGCCAGGCAGAGGGCCGTGGAGGGGCTGAGCTGGGCTGGTTTGCAGAGACAGCAGTGAACATCGGCTTTGCCTGCCAGCTGCTCTCGGAAAACATGATCATTCTGGAGGAGAAGGAGATTGTGTAAGACGTGGGGGTTGGGTGGTTGGGTGCATGAGCCTGTGTTGGGGGGGTCAGGGTTGGGGCAGGGCACCACCCATGGCCCAGGCATGGCTCTGGGGTCTGCAGAATGCCCTCAGCCTCTGCCTGGTGGGGCTCCCAGAGGGGGAAACCAAGGCACAGCTGGGGAGTGGGTGCACGGAAGCCTGTGCAGCTGGTGTGGCTGAGCCCCTGCTGGACCCCTGCAGGCGGATCCTGGAGGTCTACTGGGAGAGCAACAATAGCCTGCAGGGTGGCAAGAAGGGCCACCTGAACAAACAGCTCCCCCTGCAGGTCAAAATGGCCTTGGTCATTAACGGGGAGTTCCTGATCAGTGTCAGCTCAGGGTGGGCAGCGGGGCCCTGGTATCTGGGAGGGGGCTGGGGACGGCCTCCACCAAAAGGCCCCCAGATGTGGTGTTGGACCAGCCAAGGCGAAGGGCCTGAAGCGTCACACCGAGAGATGGTTCTCAGCAGGGCGAGAGCAAGGGAAGCACGCAGTCAGGTCCAGCCGGGAGGAGGGCCCAGTCAGGGCGTTCCTGGAGGGCAGCGGTGCAGCTGAGTGACGCGCCCCTTGTCCCCCGCGGGCCAGGACCAGCTGCTGCTGTCCCTGCGCACGGAGCCCCGGGCCCTGGTCCATAACGTGAGCTTGGAAGAGGAGGAGCCCTGGCAGGAGCCCAGAGAGGAGAGGGCGGACTTCCTGCAGGCCAGACGCCTGTCCCTGGTGTGGCGGGTCGTGGGTGGTGGGCAGCAGCGCGCGGGGAGGCCGGCGGCCGGCAGCAGGCGGGGGTGGTAACTGAGGGGCCCGGGGCCGACAGGCTGCGTGTGCCCCTGCAGCTGCGGACATCGGCATGGGGCTGGCGGGTCAGGAGAGCGTGCAGGCGGTGCAGAACAGCGACTATGTGCTGGCCCAGTTCTGCTTCCTGCGGCGGCTGCTGCTGGTGCATGGCCGTTGGTCCTACACGCGCGTCTGCGAGTTCCTGCGCTACTTTATCTACAAGACGCTGGCCAGCATCATGGTCCAGATCTGGTTCGCTTTCTACAGCGGCTTCACTGCCCAGGTGCGCTGGAGGGAACTCCCCTCTTGGGGCAGGGGGGCCGGGGGCGGGGGTTGGGCTCTGGGATTGCCGTGTCCTTCCCGTAGCCTCCAGGAAGGCAGCAGGCAGGCTCACACTCGGGTCATCACGGGGCAGAATTGCCTGAAGTCACAGAGCAGCACAGACCTGTATTTGGCTGCATTCATAGAGGTGGAGATTCCAGATGAAGGGAAGGGATGGTTCCACGCCCAGCTCAGAGCCAAGCATTTTCAGGGATATTTGGCAAATCTGAGCTTTGGAGCAAGGGCAGGACAGGTGCTCCAAATATACATCCTTTAAGGGGAGACAATGAGAGCTTGAACTTGAGAGAAGATAAGACTACGGGGGCTGGTTTCCGAACTTCAAGACTCTTGACAGTATCATGGTGAATACTAGCTGTGCTCTCCAGAGCGTTAGAGGAGTTGTAGGGCAGTAGGGCAGTGATGTCCCCTGTGTGTAAGGAAATAGTCTGAAGATAGACTACAGTGAGAGGGAATGAGCTCCCCATCACTAATGCCAAGGTATTTGAGAGAGAGCTTTACAGCAGCAACCCTCATAAATAAATATATATATATATATATATATATATATATATATATATATATATATATTTTTTTTTTTTTTGCGGTATGCGGGCCTCTCCCTGCTGTGGCATCTCCCGTTGCGGAGCACAGGCTCCGGACGCGCAGGCTCAGCAGCCATGGCTCACGGGCCCAGCTGCTCCGCGGCATGTGGGATCTTCCCAGACCGGGACACGAACCGTGTCCCCTGCATCAGCAGGCGGACTCTCAACCACTGCGCCACCAGGGAAGCCCCACAAATATATATTTTTGTTTTACTTTTTATTTCTAGGTATTTTCTTCTTTTAGATGCTGCTATAAATGGAATTGTTTCTTTAATTCACTTTTGAGATTGCTTATTGCTGGTATATAGAAACAGTTTTTTGTGTGTGTTGATCTGTGTGCCCTTCAGCTTTGTTGAATTTGTTTATTGGCTCTAGTAGCTTTCCTGTGAATCCTTTGGGATTTTCTGCATATAGATCCTGTCCTCTGCAAATAGAGATAGTTTTACCTCTCCCTTTCCAATTTGGATACTTTTTATTTCTTTTTCCTGCCTAATTGCTCTGGCTAGGACTTCCAGTGCAATGTTGAATTGCCATGGTGAAAGCAGGCACCTTTGTCTTGTTCCTGATCTTAGAGGGGACAGTGTCCAGTCTTTCTGTATTTGTTAATTGGAATTCTTCCATGGGAAGAACTGTTCCTTCTCCCCTATTTATTTATTCAATTATTTATTTCTAACAGTGTGGACTCATGGGTGTTTATTTTATTCTATGCTTTGTTGCTCAAGTTGTCCCCGATTTGCCCCTTTGCCACGTGCCTGCTCTTCTCTGAGTACATCCTCACTTCCTGGTGCTACAAGAGGTTCCAGGCCCATTTTGTCTTTTCCGTGCCCCAAGCCTGGAATGAGCCATTCCCATATGGAGCCCTGGTTCTCTTCACCAGAGAATGGTAGTTAGACACCAAGATCCAAGTGCTTAGTGTGGTCATTTTGCTACTGGGATGCCATTATCCTCTCGGTAGACAGAGCTAGGAAATGCACACATATTAACCCATGTTTAGATGCAAATCTATATCTCTATCGACACCTATCCATCTATCTATTTTTGTGTATGTGAGTTCACACTGATACCTCTGCTTCCTGACCCACAGAACAAGGCTCAGCTTAGCCTTTTCCGTTTACTGCTTTGTGACTCTTAACTCCGATGGTGAGAAACTTGATTCTGGTAAAAAAAGTTTGATCGTTACTTATTTGCTCAATCCCACAATGCACATAAAGTGGTTTTTGGAACTGAAACTGATATTCTTTTAACTAGTCTGGATTCATGCATTCGGGAAGGGAGCTGGGCTATTTGTCTCTGAGGTCTCTTCCAACTCTCCTACCCATCAGTGATTTCCTAAATCGAAAACGATCTAAAAACACACTCTCTAGCCGTTTTCCCTCCTGTAGCTTTTTATTGAAGTCATCCACTTAGAACAGGCTCAAAGGTGCTGCTTTAAAAGAATTAGACCAGGGCTTCCCTGGTGGCACAGTGGTTGAGAGTCCGCCTGCTGATGCAAGGGACGCTGGTTCATGCCCCGGTCCAGGAAGATCCCACGTGCCGCGGAGCGGCTGGGCCCGTGAGCCATGGCCACTGAGCCTGCGCGTCTGGAGCCTGTGCTCTGCAACGGGAGAGGCCACAACAGTGAGAGGCCTGCGTACCGAAAAAAAAAAAAAAAAGGACAAATACTGTCTGATCCCACTCACAGGGTGTCCCTGGGGGAGTCACATCCATAGAGACAGGAAGTAGATGGTGGCGGCCAGGGGCTGGGGGAGGGGGTGGGGAGTCAGTGTTTCTTGGGGACAGAGTTTCAGTTTGGGAAGATGAGAAAGTTCTGGAGATGATGGTGGGGATGGTTGCACGACAGTGTGAAAGTACTTAATGCCACTGAGCTGTGCACTTAAAAATGGTTGAAATGGTACATTTTATGTTATGTGTATTTTACCACAGTGAAAAAAGGTGAGGGAGAGGACTCACTGGCTCATAGAATCAGAATCTAGAAGGATGGGTCGCAGCTGGGCTGGGCCCCAGAATTGACTGGAATGGTGGACTAGGACATGGCCACAAACCTGCCACCTTCACCCACACAGGCTGGACATTGGGCTGCCCCAGACTCTGATTGGCTGATCCAAAGTCAGGTCCTAGGGAAGGAATCTGATTGGCTGGCCCAAAGTCACGTCCCATGGGACTTCCCTGGGGGTACAGTGGTTAGAACTCTGCACTTCCATGGCAAGGGGCACAGGTTCGATCCCTAGTTGGTGAACTAGGATCCCACATGCTGCACGGTGTGGCCAAAGAAAAAGAGAAAAAAGTCAGGTCCCATGGAGGACTCCAGTTGGGTCAACTTGGGTAGGAAAGAGCCTGGCCAATCCATGGTGGCAAAGGGCTCTGATTGGCCCCCACTGGAGGGGCAGGTGACCCGAAAGCAGTCAACATGGCTTAGGAGCCTGCTGACTCCTGCTTTCCCCTTTGCTCTGTAGAAGGAGGAGGAGATCATCACCGTGGAGCCCATACCTCATGTCCTCCGGGAGGCACGGACCCGGCACTCCAGCTATGCCTTCTCCCACCGGGAGGGCTATGCGGACCTCATCACACAGGGCACAATTCTGCGGAGGTCACCAGGGGTCAACAGCGACATGCTGGTTGATCACACGAGGCCACCTGATGAACTGCCCTCAAGCATGGAGGAGTCCTCCTGGTACCCCAGGAAGATGTCGTTCCTGGGGAGGAACAGGCGCCAGCACCAGAGGAAGGTGTCCTCTGAGGATGTTCAGCCTGCCTCTGAGGTGAGCTCATCCTTGCCTGTGGATGGGCAGTCCTCTCCTTATCAGGAGAGCCAGCACTCTCTCACCAAAAACCGGCTGTCCGGGTCTCTCCAGGAGAAGTTGCCGAAGAGGCAGGAGAGGTCACTGTCATATGAACCGTGGCCATATACTCCCCAGAGTCTGCCACCAACCAAGGAGACACCACTATCAGCGGAGGAGAGCCAGATGACTTCTGAGAGCCAGATGCTGCCTTCAAGCCAGCTGTCTTTGAAGAGCCAGTCAGCACACTTGCAGGAGAAGACATTCCTCTGGAAGATCCGGAAACTGTCCTGGAAGAACTGGCCATACACCTGGCAAAAGGAGTCCGGGCCCCCCCAAGGAGGGGACGGTGCCAGTTTCCAACTCGAACCTCACTGCTCTGATGGAAACTCCACCACCAACTGCGAGAGGATCATCCACCAGCGAGCAGCCGATGGAGGTGGAGCCCTCACCTGTGGAGAAGCAGCCGTCGCCCGTGGAGTGGCTGCCAGGGCCCAGCGAGGGTCAAACTCCACCTGATCTGGCAGGGCTGCCGCCCTCACCTGAGGAACAGCAGTGACTGCCCAGGCTTAGTAAGTGTTACCCAGCATCGTGAGGCCTTCCCCCAAAGACAGGGGCTCCACCTGCTCTTCTTTCTCTAATAAACCACGGTCTGTCTGACCCCAGGTCTCCTTGAGGCGCTCTCTTCCTATACTTCTTTCTGTGATGTCCCATGAAATAGTTCGTTTCTGGTTTTAAAAATCAAAACACTGACCTCTAGTGGCCTGATGGGGGATTTGCAGGGAAAGCTGGGTTTCTTTGGGTTTCTTTACCCTGGGGCAATGTGGATAAAAGCTTTATTGCTCTCAGAAGGGAGAAAGGTGCTGAGCAGACTCTGCTTACCAGCCCTGGCTTCCTGCCTGCAGCCTGCTGGCCTATCTCAGGGCAGTTTATAAGGTCCAGTCCTGACACCACCCAGCCTTTTTCTCCACTGGGCTGCCCTGGTTTCTTCTCAAACAAACCACCTTACACTTTAGGCTCCAGAAGGCAGTGGTCAGTGACACCTCAGAAGCAGAGCCCAGCAAGATCCGAGGCTCAGGTGGCCCAAAGGCCCTGTGGAGTGTGGAGCCCTGTGGGGGCAGGGGCTCAGGGAGGGCTGAGTTCAGAGCAGAGAGGGGTGGGCTGGGAGAGGCCCGCTTCCACTTTCCCTCGTCCCCTTCCTCCTTCATGGAGGGTGAGCCCCATGCCTCCCACTCCTGCACCAGCCCCTCCCCCCCCACCATTCAGCAAAGGCACAAGCCCAGGTGAGTGACTAGAAAATAATTTATTGGAGGGAAACAAAACAACAAATCCAGCACAGCAATGGTTCACAACGATGATGATATATTTTTTTAAACGTTTAAGCCTGTCGCCTGAGGGTAGGGTGGAGGGGGCCTCTGTTCCCTCTAGCCCTGGGGGTTCGGGGGAGGACTTTGGATGACCCAAATCGTGTGTCCCCTGAAAGCAGCCCTAGTGTCCAGTTGTGATTACACACTCAGGGCCATGTGGCCTCCTGGCCGCCCTCACCCCTGGTGGAGACAATCCTCCCAAAGACCAGCCCTTGGGGGGCCTGCCAGGGATACAGGAGGAGACCAGGGAGCTGATGGGCTGGTGTGGCCGAAACTGCTTTGGGCCAAGAATGTGAGTGTCCCCAGTTCCAGCCGGTGCAGGGGCCCCGGAACACGCCCCACCCCTACCCCCCGCCCTCATTGCAGGTGGGTTGAACCTGCGCCCCCAGGCCCAGCCCTCCAAACTTGGGCCTTCTGTCCTTCAGGGTGTGAGAGACCCCCTTTGGCAACCCAAACCCACCTTACCTGGGGCCTGTCCTGGAAAGTGGGCTCTCCCCTGGTGGGAGCATGGGCCCCGTGGCAGAAGAGTCACAGTCCGGGAGACTGTCCCAGAGCCCCCTTTCATGATTTTTTTGGGGCCCCTTTGTTCTCTGGGTACCAGTGGGGGCTGGGAGGGAGGGCTCCACAGGTGTGCACCCCCTACCTCCCAGGCCAGACAGAAAGGTGAAGGCCAGGCCTGAGGGGGCTGGGGCGTGTGGGTGGAGCCCGGGCAGGTGCCTGCCTTGGGGGGGTTGTCTCAGGAGGGCCCTTCAGATCTGAGGAAGTAGGAGTACACCCCGCCCCCCACCAACTTAGGCGACAAGACTCGAATTGGCTGATTGTCTGTCTCCTCTGAACAAGACACTTGGGAATTCATGCTAACGTGAGACCGACCGACCGGGCGGGGGGCCCGAGGTGGCAGTGACACCCACTGGTGCCCCAGGACCAGGAGCCGGAGGGACTCTGGTGCCAGGAGCTGGAGGCCCCGCCACCGGCCGCCTTCCTTCTGCACCTGAGGCCCGTCCACCCACCGCCGGCTAGACACAGATCCTTGGAAAGCGGGGAAAGTAACACAGAGCAGCGCCGAGGAGCACCGAACAGCACCGACTGGGGCATGAAACACAAGATGCGACACGGAATCCCAGGGCTCCCGCCCCGCGGCCCCGCCCCACCCCCACCCTTCCACCTAGTACATTATCTTCAAGAAAAAGTACATTAGTCATGCATCAAATCAAATTCCATTGCGTCTTTTTTTTCATTTTTCTTCCTTTTTTTTCTTAAATTACATTTGAACACAGAACACATAGAATAATAAATACTCTTATAAGACATGACTTCAAAAAACAAGAAACAGAACACGCCAGAGAACAAAAAGGTATCCAACGCTCTCTCTCTCCTCTCTTTCCTAAAGGACTCATTGAAATAAGAAATCTGTAAACGCCGCAGGTCCTTCCTCGTGCGCTCCCAGACTCTCTCTCTCGCTCATGCTCCCCCGGCCCTTTGCCTCTGACCACCCAGCTTCCCCTGCCCTGACATTCAACGCGTCTCCCACGGAGCTCACCAAAAGAAATGACATACCATCGTCTGCAAAATTATAATTTAACGGTATAAAGCTTCAAGTCACGTATTCCAAAAACTAGCTAAGGATTTTTTTTTAAATCACATAAACTATACATTAAATATCTTGAGGTATTTCAGAGAAAATTGTCAAAGGCTCGAAGGAGCTGTGCTGGAGGTGTCATTCCCTGTGTGGAGAATGGTCTTTGGTATGTGACAACCAGCTGGGTGTTGGGGCAAGCGGGGCTGGGTGGGGCGTCAGAAGGGAGATGGTGTGTGTGCACGTGTATGCGTGCGTGTGTGCATATGTAATAGGAGGGTGTTTGAAAGGGACGCAGGAGTCAGGGACGCTTCTGTGACCCGTGTCACTGGGGCTTGAGGGGTCCCATCACCAGAAAGGTCCCATGTCCATTCCTAAGTGTCCAACATGGGACAAACCCAGGAGGCCCTGGCCTCTGACGCTTGGGCCTTGAATGCAGGACCAGCAAGTGACTTAACCAGCAGAGAATCCCCATCCCCCAAAAGCAGGTGCTCTCTCAAGTGGGGCCCACGTGTCCGTGGCAGTCTGAGGGAGGGGCCGTGTCCACCCAGACCCAGCTCCCAGCCCCCGGTGTGGTGGGACCAGTGTGTGCACAGGAGTGTATACGTGTGTCTGGGGGGAGGGGTTGTTGCTGAGCGGGAACGGGGACCCTTAGGATTCTGCCCCAACATCCAAAGGTTCTAGAAGCATCACTCAGATCCGGTTGCTTGAAAAGCGGGGAGAATAGCGAGTCGATAAGGACAAGAGAGCATCTCACACACGTCTTTGGTTCAAGAAAAAGGCACTCATCGACCTCACCACCCTCTCCCTCCCTCCCACTCTCTCTCTCTGTCTCTCTCTCTCTGCTCTCTCTGGTGGTGGACAGGTGGTACCTGGGGGGCAGGGCCCAAAGCAGACCCTCGCCCACACCTGGTCCCCAGGCGAGGGAATCCTAGCATCCAGCACAAGTCCTTGGGGGAAATCTTTGGTATCAGGCGTGATTTTTCCAATCACAGACATGAACATTTGAGTGAGGTAGCCTTTACCTGGGGAGGAGGAGGGGCATTTCATTAGAAATGTCTCTTGCATTCTCAAAGGGGAGGGGTGTGGCCACCTCTCTGGGAGGCGGTGGTCAGGGGGTGGGAGGTGGTGGTCAGGGGGTGGGAGGCTGTTTGGTGGGGAGAGGTTCCTTCTAGCCTCCAGCTCTTGAGCCCTGGGCGGGGGAGCAGGCTCTTGGGATCCAGCTGCCGGCCAGTCCTGGAGGTCACCTGGAGAGGGTGAGCAGGGGAGGCTGGGGGGAGGGGGGCATGCTCATCTTCATTTCTGACCCTTCCTTCCCCTTTGTCATTTTTTGTTTTTCTTTTGGCAAAAATCAGAGCAAGCAGATTCCACCTTGTTCATCATCTTCTTTCTCTCTTTGGAGAAAAAGCAGCAGCAGTACCGGTTCACCCCTGCGCCCCTGCAGGCCCAGCGCCGCACCCCCGAGCGCTGGGAGGTGGGGGAAGTTCCGGGGGTTCCGGAGCAGAGGGCGACGCCGCGACCCCAGCGAGCAGAGGTTCAGGTGTGCCCTGCTCTTCCGGGGCCCGTTTCTCCGTGGAATCTGAGTGTTTTCTTCTGTTTCCTGGGGTCTGTCTCTCCCCGCGCGTCATTCATCAAGGTGCCTAGCGGTAAAGTGAACTGGCAGAGGGATGTAGGGAGGGAGGCGTCTGGAATTACCCGCTTGTTTGAGCTGCCGTCCCCTCCGGTCTGGGACAGGGTGGGGAAGGGTGCTCGCCGGTGGGTGCTGGGCGGTCGCCGCTGCAGGGCACCCCACCCCCCCAGACGTTAAGGCAGGCAATTCTTGGCACAAGGAATCCCGGCTGCCGGGAGGGGCGGCTGGGTCTTGGCTGCGGAGGCAGTTCTGCCGGCGGACCCGGGGTGGTCTTGGTGGGGTGGGGGCAGTGTGAGGCTCCAGCTCGACGTGGGCTTTGGCGACTTTGGAGGGGTTGAGTTCTCGGGGAAGGGTCCGTGGCGGGGGTTTGGGGGGGTACCGTTGGAGAGGAAGCCTCCCTGCCTCCTTCCGTGGGGTCGGGGGGCCGGCGAAGGAGGGGTTATTCTTTAAATTCCTTTTTTAAATACCCGGTTTGTTTCTAGTATGTGCTTCTTGACCCGCTTTCGGGACGACACGTGAGCCCTGGTTTTCCTCGAAGCCCCCTGGGCGTCCTGCCTTGAAAGGGAGCCCGGGAGCCCCTTTCTGTCACCCCCTCCCCTCTGGCGGGGGGGGTGGAGGGCTTCCTTTGGCCTGAAGGAGATTGGGACGGAGGGAGGAGGGGGGCCCTTTTTGTGCACTTGGGCTGGGGGTGTGCTGCGTCCCTTCCCGGGGTGTGGGAACCCGGACGGCAGCCCCTCCAGGCGCCCCCTGGCGCGGGTCTCCGGGCCGGCAGGGTTGGGGCTGGGGGACGTGGGAGGGCAGCGCCCGGGCCGTGGAGGCTGGGAGGGCGCGGTGGGGCAGGGGGGAGGGGAGGGCGCGGGGGGGGGGGAGGGGCGCCTCAGGCCTTGGAGAAGGTGGCCGCGGCGCCGACGGGGCCCCCGGGGGCCGCGCCTGGCTCCTCGGCCCAGCGGTTCATGCAGCGGCGCCGCGCGTTCATGAAGAAATTGCTGACGGTGTTGAGCTCCAGGCCGAGCTGCTGCGAGATGGTGACCTGCATCTCCTTCGACGGCCGCTTGTTCTCCTTAAAGATGGCGATCAGCGTGCGCCGCTGCAGGTCGGTGAACACCAGGCGCTGCTTCTTGGGCTGCAGCGCGCGCTCCTTCTGCTGCTCCTGCTCCTTCCGCTTGCAGGCTGCGGGCGAGCGGGCGGGCGAGCGGGACGCAGCGCCACCGTGCGGCCGCACGGAAGAAGACAGGCCACGCGTCCCGGAGCGGAGAGACACGAGGAAACACAGAAATACGCGGGAAACGCGAGAGATGGAGGGAGAGACGACCCGGGGACAGGGCCAAAAGAGACAGGGAGACACAGAAAGAGGCCAGGAGGCAGCGAGTAGAGACCGCCAGTAATGGAAGGAAGGGGGGGGCAGACAGTCGTGGGCAGGAGACAGAGACAGAGGAGGCAGATGTGGAGGTGGGGAGAAACAGAAGGGGATACAGTGTGAGCACACCTCCGCAGGCACGGGTCGCCACCCCTCCCATCCCTCTTCTGCATGCTTGGCCCGCTCCCCAGCCTCATATCCCCAAACCCCTCCCCACCCCCCCAAGAATCCTGACCTCAAGAGCACCACTGGTGTTGGTGGCTTTCTGCCCTCCCTTCTGCAGCCCACACCTGGGGGGTGCTGGGGGAAATGACATGGAAACTCTACATGTGAGTTATTTGGCTCAGTGTAGACCTGGGTGAAAGAAGTGGTTAATTCATAGGTCCTTGGAGATGTGTCACAAACCCCAGTAACCTCCCCCTGGAATGATGGGGCAAGGGGGTTCTCAGAAGGGGGGTGACAGCCCATGCTTCCTTCCCTGGTGTCCTCTGGCGCCTGGCCAGCTCAGGGACCCTGAACCAGGCTCACATGGGCGTCCACTGCCTGATTCTGATATCTGAGCCCCCACTCTGGCCTCCCCCCACCAGCAGACTGAGACTAAGGTTTGGCTCCCCTCAAGTCCCCAGAGAAACTTCTGGAGCTGGGAGGATCTAAGGGGGGTTGAGAGACCAACCGTCCCTCTCCCAGGACCACCTGCACGGAAGACCGGGAAGGCTGCAGGAGGCTGCCCTGTGGTCGGTGGATGCTTGCAAAGGGGAAATGGCAACATCTCAGGGTGGTGGAGCTGGGCTGGAGCCGGTGGTCCTCCTCCTCCCTGCCCCAGCTCCAAAGTGGACCCCTCCCCTCAATGCCATGGGGGCCAGTGGGTGGAAAAGATGAGCTTCACCAGCCAGAGCAGGCTACTTCCCCCCGGGGGCTGCTGACATCAGCACAAACTCTATCAGAGTCTCAAATCCTCATCCACGTAGCAGTCAGGGGCAGTGGGTGGTGGACACCTGCCCTATCCTGCCTCCCCGCCAACCGCTTGCCCCAGCGACTCTGTCACCCCCAGAGTGGCCGATGGCACAGGCTGTACTAGCAGATCCCTGCTGCCAGGCCTAGTGGCGTGCTGGGACCACAAGCCAAGCTGGATTTTTTTGGTTCCAGGACAGTCTGAACCCGATGACATGCCAGATCAATGTCCACACACGTCAGCAAAAATAAATGAATGTCCCCTGCACTGTGGCTCGTTTCTCGGGGACGACAGGTTCCCCTGTGTGAACTGACGCACCACGTCCCTCCCTGGCCCCCTCTGACCTGGAACACACACGGGGCTTCTGATTGCCTGTTTCAGGTTTCATGATTAAAGAAGAGTGATGATCAGAGGTTACTGGACATTTCAGAAAAGCCTCTAATGAAGGAGAGAGAGAAAAAGTGAGAAAAATGGCAGGAGGATTGGGGGATGATGCTCTCAGAAGAAACAGACAGGTCAGGCACTGTTATAAGTCAGATTCTTGGAGAGGTAAGAGAAAAATACTGTATCCATGAAACAGGACCATGAAAGGGGAAGACAATGCTCTTAGAATTTAAGTATATAATAGCTGGAATAAAGTCAATGTAAGAATTGGAACATAGGGAATTCCTGGTGGTCCAGTGGTTAGGACTCGGTGCTTTCACTGCCAAGGGCCAGGGTTCAATCCCTGGTCCGGGAACTAAGATCCTGTAGGCCATGTGACTGGGCCAAAAAATTAAAAAAAAAAAAAAAAAGAATTGGAACATAAAGCAAATATCTCTGGAAATACAGGTGGACACAGAGATGGAAAATGAGGGAAAGGTGATAACAAAGTTAGAGGATGAATGTGCAGGTTTGTCATCTGAGCAAGAGGCCATCCAAAACTAGAGAAAGGGAAGCCCAAATAAATTTATATATATATATATATTTTTAAATCCATGGCTGGAAGACATGAGAGTTCAGTTTAAAAGAGCCCATGAAATGCTCAGCTCAATGAATGAAAAAAAATACACTCCCTGAGGTTCATCCTCGTGAAATGTCAGGGACCCAGGATGAAAAAGAAGATAAAATGTCCCAGAGAGGAAAGCCACATGCCATTTGGAGACCTAAGAATCAGAGTGGCTTTGGGCTTCTTGAAAACTGGGAGCCAGTGGAACAATGCCTTCAAAATTCTGAGGGAAAACTGTATTCAGCTAGAATTGTGTGACCGGCCAAACATAAGCATGAAGGTGGACTAAAGATATAGTCAGACATTCAAGGTCTCCAGAAGTTGACTTCTGTATACCCTTTTCTCAGAAAGCTACTAGAGGGTGTGTTCCATCAAAATGAGGAAGTAAATCAAAAAAGGAAGGTGCGGGAATCAGGAAATGTGATTCAACCTAGAGGAAAGGGAAAAGCGGTCCCCCAAATGAAGATGGGAGAGCCTGAAAGACAGCAGGACAAAGGCACCAAGGGCACGGAGGGCAGTCCCATTCAGGTCAGAGCAGAAGAACCAAGGGAAATGGAAATGTCCTAACATGCGTTGGTTTCGAACTTTGATGGAGGATGTGGGAAGAGTTTGTGATTGGCAACAATTAACTCCTGGAAAAACAAACAGCCGTGCAAGAAAGGAAAAGCAATCCTGGTACTGTATGAGGCAAAACCTAGGAGATGAACTGTGTACCGGGCAGCCTTTTGTATACAAAACAGGGGAGTGAGAACATTTGTTCGTATTTTATCTGCTTAAAGAAATGTTCGAAGGAAGCACAAGCAACTGCCTTGACCTCCCATCTCCTTGGAACCTGGCAAGCCTGTGAGGCTCACGAGAGGAGGCCACATCCCCCACTCTTTCAAGGGAAAGCTGGGTCTCAGGCAGCAAGGCCAGGGAAGAGTCAAAACTCAGCCAGGCCTTTACATTCCAAAAGAGGCCTTTCTTGCCCTCCTGTTGCGATCGTCAATTCATTCGTTCACTCATGCATTCATTCATTCTCTTAGCAATTTTCTCATGAGTTCACTATGCATTTACACTAGGGACAGATATACAAATGCTCCTTTGTATCAATGCTCTAGCTTGCAAGAGCTTTGCATGTGCAGGGCCTTGTAATTCCATAGGGCAGGAAGTTTCCTTCTTACTTACTCAGAGAAGGTAAGCGCCTCGCCCAAGTTCACCCAGCAAGTCCTGGCAGGGGCAAGACAGCAGCCAGAGTTGACTGGCAGAGGGGAGGGAGGTAAGATGGGGGTCGCCTCTTTGCCCCCGGCCTCCCCCTTCTCCAACCCAGAGCCTAATGGGGGCCCCAGAGGCAGAGGCTGGGGGAGGGGCCGGGCGAAGCAGAGCGGTGAAAAAACTTCGCGTTTTGTCGATCGCAGCAAAAAGAGGCTCCGCTCGCCCCCCTTCCCAGCGTTCAATCTAATTACAGCTCCTCACAGCCTGGATCGATCCGGGCTCCAGTCGGAGCTGTTTACCTCGAGCAGCTTTTGTCACCGCTTCCCTCCCCCACAGACCCCGGCGGCGCCGGCCTGGAGGCCCCTGCCCCTGGCGGGGGTGTGAGTGCCAGCACCGGAGGTGCCCCAAAGCCCCCCAGCAGCGGGTCCTATCGCTGCCCTGCCCCTCATCAGTATCCCTCCCAGCACCCAGCATCACCCGGGCCAGCGCTAAAAACCACTGCACCCCTGGAGTCAGCCCCAGAAGGAGGAGAGGCCTGGGTATGGGCCCCTTTCACAGAAGTGAAAACCAAGGCTGCCAGAGGACCGGCCAGGGAGCAGGGCTGGGGAAGAGGAGCCCGGGGAGCAGCCTGGGATGTACTCATGGCACCAGCCAGCAGCCTCACACTGCGGTACCACTGCTGCGGCCACCTCTTCCACGATGATCTCCAGTGGGGACCGCCACTGTGGTGTACCTGCATCGCCTCCTCCACCTGCATCACTTCTCCCTCCATCACCTCCTCCACCACCCCCACCTCCATCACCTCTTCTGCCATCACCTCGTCTCCACCACCATCGGTGTCCATCTACCACCATCCCTTCCATCATCTACGTCAGTTCCACCGCCAGCCCCTCCTCCTCCACCATTACCACCACCTGTACCACCACCACCTCTCTCCGCAGCCGAACTCCACCATCAACACCACCTCTGCTCTCACCACCTCCTCCACTCGCACCTCCACCACCATCACCTCCATTTTATCACCTCCACCACCGTCTCCTCCAAAATCCTCACCGACACCATCAAACCCCCTCCTAGAGTCCACCTTGTAGGTGCCCAGCACAGGGGGACTCAGCCCAGGTTCCCCCACCAGGGCCACCCAGCCTGTGGTAGGGAGACAGGGAGTGGCCTCAGACACGGGCCCTCACCACCAACCATGGCTGCCATGACAGCCAGCAGAGGAGGAGCCAGCTGGGCTGGCCTGTGGGATTGGTGTGGTGGGGTGGCCTTCATACATGCTCTGGGACCCTGGGTGGGTCAGTTCCCTTGCAGGGCCTGCCTCAGTCTCCTCAGTTGCAAAATGGGACGTTCTGCCTCCTTCAAACATTTTTCAGGGCACATCAGCTGCCCGAGCCCTCCCCATCGCACTCGGCCCCTGGCCCCCCACCGCCTCTCTGTTCTCACCTCCTCCTGCTGCCCCCTCACTCCGCTCACTCCTCCATGGCCACACTGGTCACATCCCCCGGGCACAGTCCAACCTCAGGGCCTTTGCACTGGCTGCCACCTCTGCCTGCATCGCTCTTTTTTATTTATAAATATTTATTTATTTATTTGGCTGTGACAGCTCTTAGTTGTGGCACGTGGGATCTAGTTCCCTGACCAGGGATCGAACCTGCGCCCCATGCATTGCGAGCACAGAG